TGGTACTGAATGGGGTTGCACTGCCCCAGACAGACCCTGTGTGCAATCTGGGGGTCCTCCTAGACTCACAAGTCCTGCTCAAAGAGCAGGTGGCAGTTGTGGTTTGCACAGCTTCATATTGTGCGCCAGTTGCACCCCTTCCTGGACTGGGGGGCTCTGCTCACAGTCACTCATGCCCTAGTCACCTCCAGATTGGATTACTGTAATGCACTCTACATGGGGCTGCTGTTGAGGAGTATCCAGAAGCTTCAACTGGTGCAGAATGCGGTGACGTGGGCAATTATGTGTGCTCCTAGAAGAGCACACATTACACCTCTGCTTCGTGAGCTGCATTGGCTGCCAATTTGCTTCTGGGTCCAATTCCAGGTGCTGTTTTTGACCTTTAAAGCACTTCATGGCAGAGGCTGGGTCATTTGAGGGACTGCCTCTCCCTGATCACATCAGCCCATCCCATTAGATCAGGCAGGGAAGGTGTGCTACGTGTGCCAACGGCCAGGGACTTGCATTCAGTGGGTCCCAGGAGGTGGGCGTTCTCTGCTGTGGCTCCCTCCTTGTGGAACATTCTCCCCCCTGAAGTGAGGCTCACCCCTTCCCTGATGTCATTTAGGAAGTCCTTCAAGACCTGCTTGTGTCATCAGGCCTGGGGGTCTTTAGGAACTGGAGACATTCTTAGATGGCTCCACTATGATAAATATTCTCTCTCTCCCTGGGGTTTGTATATTTTAAAATTTTTAAACATTTTGATGATGTTGAATTTAAATAGTCACCTTTTTATCTTTCATAATGATTGTTTTTATCCATTTGTTATTTTATTTAATTGTACACCGCCCAGAGTTACTTTGTATGAAATGGGCCGCTATATAAATGTGATATATAAATAAACAAACAAACAATCTTATGTATAAGGGTATTCATGTGCACACATGGTAATGAAATCAGTCTGAAAATATGATTGATTTGAGAGTTTATGCTTAAAAAAAAGGAAAATTAGCAAAGGTTCTAAGGGCGATGAGAGGGGCTGAATGTGAACCTTATTTGGTGCTGTCAAGAGTGGTTCGTGGGAAAAAATGGACATGGAAGGAAATAAAATATGTGAAAGAAACTAGAATGGAAGTAGAATGGCTTAGGAAGAGAAAGTGCAAGTCTAGTATGAAAAAATATCAAAAGACAAATTATCTCTCAGCAGAATGAATAGAGGTGGAAATAAGGAAAAAGGACATGGAAGCTGTTGGACAAGAGTGAAAAAATTGGTACAAAGTATGCAAAGTTGCCCACATGGAAAGTAATGAAAAAGGATGTTTGGTTGAATAATGGAGTGAAAGAAGTTGTGGATGGGAAAAAAAAAAGGCTGGATGGAGAAGTTCCACTCAGAAGAGATACATCTAGCTAGCTGTGAAACTAATATTATAGATACGGAAACTCTCATCTGCTCATATAGATCTGCTCATATGG